TTAAGGTATCTCTAATTTTATCCTATTTTCAGATTTTTTTCTAATTTTATTTTTGTTTAAATCTTAAAAAAATGTTGTTTGTATTTTTCAATTTCCGTTATGATTTACTCTCCAATGGCTGAATCCAAGAGGCTTACTAGAGGTATTCATCTTAATCAACCAATTTCTGGTGATTTTTCATCCTTTAATTTATTTATTACTTAACAAATAGTGTATAATGTATGATCCGCTGCTAAAATGAGGGAAGAAAGAGGGTAAGAACATTTACAAGACTCATTGGTGTGCAAAACCTTCCTGAAATTCAGAACACAAATGTAGAATCTTTGTCTACTCGTGAGGATCTTGAAAAAGACGACGAAGATCGGATAGTTGTCGAGCAGTTTTCTATTAGTTTGTTTTGTATTTATAGTTCTTTTTTAGAATTTGGTATGCTTTCTTAATTTGTATTCAAATCACTATGTATACTATCGATAGTTGTATTTATTAAAAATTTCATGTTCATGGTTTATGTATCTTGTATTTGTCCCTAATTTGTATTCATCCAAATGTATGTCAACTAGTTATGTGTTTTATTTATAAGAAGAATAATTTTCTATTAGTTTATTTGTATTCGAATACAAATACAAATAATAGACATATTGGAATGAATACGACTTAGAAAAGGAAACAAGATTTTGAAAAGAATAATAAATACACAGTGAAAAATATATACGAATACAAATGTATTTCTAAAATAACTACATTTTATTTGACATACATATTGGAATGAATACAAACTAATAAAGGTATGTCAACTGAATTTGACATTTTTTTCTAATTTGTATTTATTCTAAAGGTATGTCAACTAGTTATGTATTTTATTTAAGAATGAGTACACCAAATATTTAATTATTTCTTTTCAATTTTATATTTCATTCACTTTTCATCATACTAATTTTTTGTATTTTATATATTATTATACAAAATTCTCAATAAAAACTAGAATAAATAGAAATACAAATAAAATACATATTGAAATGAATACAGGATTTTTGAAGAAAAAAATAACTATATAGGAAAAATATACGAAAACAAATATATTTCTTAAATGACTATATAGATAAATTCGGCATACCTATTGGAATGAATACAAACTAATAAAAAACTGTAATAAATATAAATAGAATATATTGTGGAATGAATATAATTTTAAAAAGGTAAAAATTCTGGAGAGAAACAAAAACAAAATTTAAATTTTATTTGAAAATGTAACTGATGAGAAAATTAAGGATGCTTGCCTTTTTTTGAAATATTTCACCCCTTAATTTTCTCCTTTTTATTATTAAATAATTATATTTTTTAAATAAAAATAAATAATAAAAACATAAATAAGATACATAACAAACTAAAATGACATTTTTACTAAATATTGAAATTGTTGCTAATGAGTCCTCTTAAATGCTAAAATATTGACATTTTGAAAAATTTCCCTAAAATATTTCGTCAATGTATTCTAGAATAACCAGACTCACAAATGGGCTTGCCATTATGAATTTGCAGTGGGACTTTCTTGTGAATTGGGTTTGATTGAAAAAGTTAAAGACTCTTGTTATGTGGATCTTCTTCAATATATTCATATTTGACGCCCTTAATCTTTAAAGCCCACTCAATTCTGTGACTAAATGGGCTATACCAAAAACCTAGCAACTTCACTTGTGCCATATCACAACTTTGGTTATAATTGTTAGCTAATTGACTATGGTTTTGTCTTGCATTATGGTCTTTTATAAAAGTAAAAAATCGATCTAGGCAGTGGTTGAAAGTTCCTAAATTTCCTATATTTTTATTCAAGAAAATCTTAATATATATTTCATCTGCCTTTACTTGCACTACAAAAAAATCTCAAAACCAACAAAAAAAATCGTTGGTAAATTGATCAAATCGGTTGGTAAATTGAGTTATCAACTAAATGCCAACTTATAGTAATCCGTTGCTAAAAAACTCGTTGGTAAATATTATCAACCGATTTTAATTTATTGGTAAACTTACCAACCAAAAATCAGTTGGTAAACACCCAAATATGTTACAAACTTTTGAAACATGACCCTGAAATTTCCATTGGCAAATTTACCAACTAATTTTTGGTTAGGATATTGTTCGTACCTTTACTAACTAATTAAAAAGGAGCTGGTAAATTTTTTTCTTCCTTTTTCGATTCATACATCGGTAATTGGTTGGTAATATTAGTAACAAAAAATTTGTGTTGGTAATTTACAAATAAATTTAAATACTTTTTAATATTTTTTTAGTTTTTCATCCGGTATTCGGGACCCACATTGGAGCCCGACTAAATTTGATTTACACCGAAAAGTTCCATATTGGGTGGTAAAGCACTCCCTAGCAAAGATAATTATGTACTTAACGGGAATCAAACCTAATACCTCTTGGTTAAGGATGCAATCTGCATGAGTACTTAGCACTACACCACAACCTTTGTTGATAATAAATTTTAAATACGTTAGTATGAATATTTTATTTTTCTAATATGATTGTTAGTTTATTGGTAATATATCATTCAAGTTCAATGTTAGGTTAGTAATTGATTGTCAATATATTCAAAATATTATTAACTGAATGATCATTCAATAGTAAAATATTTATTAATTTATTGCATTTAAAAATCTTCGAACATGAATATAAATCCAAAAATATTAATCAATTTTAAAAATCATATTTGAATGAAAAAATGAAAAATCTATTATAACAAGTTAAATTAATCCTAATATGACACATATTATTATATCATAAAATTTAATTTGAGCACGTTTATCAATAATATTGACTGAATCTAAAATTGGCAAAAACTTAAAACTTAAAACGCCTAACACAAACTGAAAATGGAAATCTCAAAACCTGAAACAACCATGTTAGTAGATATAAAAATGACCTTTCGAAGCTAATCACGCTGACAAAATTTTCATCAGAGCACGTTTACAAAAAATACTATGCAAAATGAAAATTTGCTGAAATTTAAAAGTTAAAACACATAGCGGTACAAACTGAATATGAAAACCTCAAAAATACGAACCAATCATTTTATAAAGCGAAAAAATGACCTTCCAGAGCTAACCACGCTGACGAAATTCAAATTTGAGCATGTTTCCAAAAAAAAGACCTAATTCAAATTTAGCCAAAAGCTAAAAGTTAAAACTCTTAATGACACAAATTGAAAATAAAAGTCTCAAAACTCGAACCAACCATCCTATGTGATCAAAACTGAACTTATATGGCTAACTGCGGCGATAAAATTTCAATTTGAGCACGATTATTAAAAATATTGACTATAGTAATATTTTGGCCAAAACTTAAAAGCTAAAATGCCTAACAACATAAACTAAAAATAGAAGCCTCAATACTCAAACCCTTTATCTTATTACATCAAAAATGAATTTTCCCATTTAACTGTGCTGACGAAATTCTTATCTGGGCACGTTATCAAATATATTGACAAAAATTAAATTTTTGCCAAAATTTATATGTTAAAACACCTAATGTCACACACTAAAAATGAAAGCCTCAAAACCCAAACCAACCGTCCTACTAGATAAAAATGACCTTTCGAGTTAATTATGCTGACGAAATTCTCATCTGAGCACGTTTACAAAAATATTGACCAAAGTCAAATATTCGCTTGAACATAAAATTTAAAACACATAATGACACAAACAAAAAATGAAAGCCTCAAAACATGAACCAACCTTTCCATTAGATTAAAAAAACGACCTTTCGAAGCTAATGACACTGATGGAGTTATAATCTGAACACGTTTATCAAAAATATTGAACAAAGTTAAATTTTGATTAAAATTTAAAAGTTATAACGCCTAATGACACAAACTAAACATGAAAGCCTCAACAATAAACATTGATTTACCAAAGAAATTAACTTCAATTGGTAAATTTACTAACTATTAAAATATAAGTTAGTAATTAATAATTTACCAATAAATTTTATCAGAGTTGGTAATAGTTACTATTCAACGGGTACATTCATATGTAATATTACCAACTAATAATTAATATGTTAGTAAATTTGACCAATGGATTAGTGATCGGTTGGGATATTACCAACTATTTTAATGATGTTAGTAATTTACTAACTACAATCTTTAATTGTCGGTAAAATTTCAATTAATTTAATATTGGTTGGTAAGTTTACCAACAAATTACATTTCATTACTAATTCACCAACACATTTATATTTGGTTCGTAAAGTTAGCAACACAATCATGTCGTTGGTAAATGTTTGGTTAGTAATTCACTGGTAATATGTTAATAAATTATATAAATAATTTTTTGTCATATTTATCAACCAATATATACTTCGTTGGTAATATTATCAACAAAAGGTATGCGTTAGTAATATTTCTGTTGGTAATCTATTAATAGAATGTTGCTAAATTTTGTGTCATTTTTTTCGCCGTATTTACCAACTAAAATACTTAATTAGTAAGCTTTATGTTGATAATCTGTTAGAGTTTTGTTGTTAAGTTTTAAAATATTGTTAGAAATATGTTGGTAATTTGTTAGTAGAATATTAATCAACTTAAGTTGTTTGTAAAATCTGTTGGCAATTTAAGAATTTTTTTTTTGTAGTGTTGGGATCAAACGTTAATTGCGTAACACTTAAACAAATGCTTATTAAATTAATTCATGTTTGTTCAAGATATTTAATGGCATACGTAACCACTTAGCTAACAATTTACCAAATACTTTAGTCATGTATTTACCTGGTTCTTATTCCCTTTTAATTTCAGTAATATTACTAACAATATCAATGACCAACAAGGCTTTGTGGTGGAGTGATAAGTATTACTTCATTCTTAATCAAGAGATCTCAGGTTTGAGCCTCAATGTGAAATTTCTCGATGCAAATCCTAATTCAGTCAGGCTCTTTTTGCAAAGTTAGCGAACATATATTTGCCCCCTTCTCTTTGTTACAATGAATCAAGTTCAATAATTACACCGGACATTAATCCGTGGACTCTCCTTATTTTTTATTTTCGACTTGAAAGTCATTTCGATTTGACTAAAAATAACATATATTTTAAAAGCTACTTTTTTAAAATCAATCTCAATAAGTTCCAAGCGGAAGTTAAAGTACTTCTTTAAAATCAATCTCAATAAGTTCCAAGCGGAAGTTAAAGTTTCGAACTTATATCTTTTGGACTATAATAAACAACCCCAAGTGGAAAGAAAGAAATATGAAAGCATTTATGCGTTACTTTTTGACTCATCATGCACTTAAACATCGTCCTATGCGTGATGCCTACTTTAGAAACTTCCTTACATATACCAAAAAGAAGTACTATATGACTTTTGACTTCCACATATATCGAAGTACACAAACACAAGTTGCAAATGCAAAATCAACCTTAGACAAATACTAAATGTAATGAAATTAAAGAAGAAAAATACTTATGCTTGGCCAACAAGAATTTTTTTAAAAAATTTCTCACGATTATAAGAACAAGAACAAATCATAAGACTAAACCAAACCATCATTAAAAAAAATACATTCTTTGAAATACAAAAATGGTAGATGAAGTTAAGTTGCTTGGTGTTAGTGGCAGTTCTTATAGTCGTCGAGTTGAATGGGCTTTGAGAGTTAAAGGAGTGAAATATGAATTTATAGAAGAAGATCTACAAAACAAAAGCCCTCTACTTCTTGAATCGAATCCCGTCCTTAAGAAAATCCCAGTACTAATTCACAATGGAAAGTCCATTTGTGAGTCTATGGTGATTGTTGAATACATTGATGAGACATTTGAAGGCCCGTCCATTTTGCCTAAAGACCCTTATGATCGAGCTATTGCACGTTTCTGGGCTACGTTTCTTGATGGAATGGTGAGTTGTTATACGTAGTAATCAATCAAATTATAACTTAATTATTAGTATTACAAAACATATATATGTACTAGTTTAGTAATCATACGTGAAATTAATTAACGTTTTTTTTTGTGGTTTTTAGTGCTTGGATGCAGTGAGGAAAGGTCTATGGAGCAAAAGAGAGGAAAAAGAGAAAAACATACAAGAAGAAGCTTATGAGATGCTAAAAATTGTTGACAATGAACTTAAGGACAAGAAGTTTTTTAGTGGAGATAAAATTGGATTTGTTGATGTTGCTGCAAATTACATCCCATTTTGGGTTGAAATTGTTGAAGAAGCTACTGGAAATGTGTTGATTACAAGTGAAAAGTTTCCTAATTTGTGTGCTTGGATAGATAAGTATCTCAAGTGTAGTGAAGTTCAAGAAAATCTTCCTGATAGAGATATGATGCTTAGTTTTTTCAAAGCTAAAGCACTAGCTGAAATTGGAGCTAAATGAAAATTTTGTCTAATTGATTGCGTAAAATTTTTAAGGTATCTTGTGTATGGAATAAAACTCGTAAATCAGAGGAATCTAGCTAGCTTAATTAATTTTCTAAATAAAATTGATTTTAATTTATGTGTTTGAGTCAACGATACCTTGTGTTCTCCAGCTTATCTGTAATTGTTTACTCGAAAAATGATATAGTTGAATTTATTATGAAATCAAAGACATGCGTATCAATTTAATAAGAAAAAAACATTTAACTAGTAATTTGATTTGATATTGAAAAAAAACTGCTACTTATAGATATATATAATGAAGTTAATGTATCAATAAGTTGAAAAACTCCACTCAGACCATAAATTACTATGTCCAATAGAAACGATTCACCTAAAAATAATGTTACTTAGTACTTACTAGTTATGCCGGCTAATATTTCACTGAAAATTGCAAAATGTCATCTATATTTATCATTTGTCCCTTTATCCCATTTTGTCTTTGGGACATAGGTACGTTCGTTGATGAGTTCCCACATTATAAATAGACCGGTCATCAATCGCTTTTTTTAAACTTTAAGATTGAACGCGCCTTAAAGAAAGCAGTCTTTGACAACTTAGATACATCATGCATTTATTGATTTGAACTTGATAGATCTTTATTAGTTGAATAGAACCTTCTACTCAATTTTTACCTAATACATGTAAATTGACTTGTCAAAGAAGAAAAGTACCATTTGCTTGGTTACCAAACCACTTCCTTATTTTACCTTCTATAAAAAGAAGAACAAAATTCAAAAGATCAAAACAACAATAGAAAATTCCTAAAATGGCAGATGTTAAGTTGCTTGGTCTATGGTATAGCCCTTATAGTCACAGAGTTGAATGGGCTCTCAAGATTAAGGGCGTCGAATATGAATTTATAGAAGAAGATCTACGAAACAAGAGCCCTCTGCTTCTTGAATCGAACCCTATTTACAAGAAAATCCCTGTTCTAATTCACAACGGCAAACCAATTTGTGAGTCAATGGTAATTGTTGAATACATTGATGAGACATTTGAAGGTCCTTCCATCTTACCTAAAGACCCTTATGATCGTGCTATAGCTCGTTTTTGGGCTAAGTTTTTTGACGAAAAGGTATATTTTAGTTGTATTAGTAGGTTTATACCTATGTTCTTTTTTGCTTTATAAGGCAAATTTATTGTGCTTTTTATTTGTATAAAAATTGGACTTATTAGAGTCTGACATGAGCATATAATTGATTCTAACTTGCTTAAACTTAATTTCGATATACGAAAATAAGTAAAATTGTTATTGATATCTAACTTTTTATTATTTTAGTTAGCAGGGGTCATCAGTGGGGAGAAGTTTCTTTCTCAAAGGAGAGGAGCAAGAGAAAGCTAAAGAGGAACTTCATGAGATGTTGAAAGTTGTTGATAATGAGCTAAAGGACAAGAAGTACTTTGTTGTTGACAAATTTGGATTTGTTGATATTGTTGCAAATGTTGTAGCCCTTTGGCTAGGAGTTCTCGAAGAAGCATCTGGAGTTGTTTTGGTGACAAATGAAAAATACCCAAATTTTTATGCTTGGAGAGATGAATACATCAATTGCAGCGAAAACAAGAAATATTTACCTTCAAGAAATGAGTTGCTTGCCAAATTCAAAGCTCGCATTCTAGCTGCATCAGTTGCCGAATAAATTCAGGAGTTCAATTTAATTACTATATTGGTTCGAGCTGTGTATACAATAACAATAACATATCAGTGTTATTTCATGTTCGAACTATGTATACATTAGGAAAATAAATAAAATATTAAGATATATGTAGTTATGAACTGAGCTTGAGTTTGCGTTTGAATAAAATTATGAAGCTTAATGGCTGTTACCCATTTGTATTCTATTGTATTAAATTATTGTTTTGCTATGGATTAGTGATCATACAATAATTAATCCACAGTTCATCAAAGTTGTCCGTCTAATATATTTAGATACATCAGCTAGGACTTATACTTATTAGATACATAAATTGTTCGAAACATATATCTATTAAACGCAAAAAAATCATTAACAAAATCGCTGCCTAAAAAACCTTTTTTTTTTAAAAAAAAAATCTCTCAAGTGGTGGCGATTTCAAATTTAAAAAAGAATTGTGCAAATCGCTGCTCGAGTAGCGATTTGTCATACGGCCAAATAAATCACTATATCAGTAGCGATTTTACCGTTTTTAATAAAAAAAAAATATTTGACATACCCTTTTAAAAATTTTATCAATATTTTTCAGCCTTTTGGCTCTGAACTACATATACATTAGAAAAATGAAATTAAGATATATGAATTTGTAAGCAGAGCTTGAATTCGCGTTTTAAATAAAATTATTTCTCAAATGAAGCTAGTTTGAAGGCCTCATTTTCTTTTAATAGAACGAAGCGACAGAGCCTACATGACGAATTGGATCGGGTCAGTTCACACGAGCGACTCAACATCAAAACATGTTCAAATTTTAATTTATGTTTGTTGTGCAAATACTTCATAATAGAAGGATGTTTGAATAATCAGCAATTGACACCCCAAAATTAATACAAAACGGACTTAACAATATGGAAGCCGGAGCATATGCAAAATTTTATAAATTTTAAATATCATCTAAAAATCATTATTGATGTTGCAAGCCTCAAAAAATGAATTATGAGTTTTTAATAGAAAAGCTTCAATAAAAATAAAGATTGGTAGTTCAAATTTCAGAAAAAAAAACTATTTTTAACTCTGTTTCATTTTATCTAACATCATATATATTTTAGTTCGTCTAAAAAAGAAAGTCATTTTAGTATAATTATACTCTTAATAATAAAATGATTTACGATCACACTAATATCTAATAATTATTTTAGCCTATAAGCTCCGTAAATCTTTTTTATTTTTGAAACATCATGTTATATCAAGCAATGCATTCAGGCGTTAACTACTACGTGTTTTAACCAAATCAATACAAATTAAAATTTATGATGGTTTTAAATGATGATTCGATATATATCCACTTGCACCCATATCTACGTAAACACAACCTTCATGCTTCAACTACTACCACTTATTTTAAGACTTAAAAGTCCTCGGTCAATATACATCATTAAATTAAAAATTGACTTTGTCAAAAAGAAGAAAATTATAAAGACACTTGTTCTCCCTCCCTCTATAAAAGAAGAACAAATCATTAGAACCAACATATAAAACTCATCAACATATTAAAATTGTAGAACAAAAATTGTGTGATGGAAGAAGTGAAGTTGCTTGGGCTATGGTATAGTCCTTTTTGTCACAGAGTTGAATGGGCTTTAAAAGTTAAGGGTGTGAAATTTGAATTTATAGAAGAAAACTTGCAAAATAAGAGCCCACTACTTCTTGAATCAAATCCAATTCATAAGAAAATTCCAGTGTTAATTCACAATGGAAAGTCCATTTGTGAGTCTATGGTGATTGTTGAATACATTGACGAGACATTTGAAGGTCCTTCCATTTTGCCTAAAGACCCTTATGATCGTGTTATAGCTCGTTTTTGGGTTAAGTTTTTCGAAGATAAGGTATACTCTTTTTTACTACCTATATTCATCTTTACATGTTCAATATACTATTTTTGTTTATAGTTTATAAAATCACTAAATAATTTATCAATATCATGCTATGTTTATTTTATTCTTGCTATTAAATAATTATTTCATCCGTTTAAAAAGGAATTACCTCCTTTCACTTTTAGTCTGTTTCAAAATGGAGAATCTCTTTCTTTTTTTGGTAATAACTTTTCACGTGGCGTGTTTAAGACCACAAGATTTAAGGACATTTTTGTACATGTAACATAATTTTAATTTATGACCACATGATCAAAAGTCTTCTTTATTTTCTTAAACTCCGTATCAAGTCAAACTAGATTATTCTTTGTGTAACAAAGAGAATATTTATTTTTTAATGTTTAAATGACTTATATTTAATAAGGATTGGTTGATAAAAATTACCTCTAATATTTGTGTACTTATTTGTAGGGGTCAGCAGTGGGGACAAGTTTCTTTCACAAATCAGAGAAGGCTAAAGAGGAAGTTTGTGAGATGTTGAAAATACTTGATAATGAGTTGAAGGATAAGAAGTTTTTTGTTGGTGATAAATTTGGATTTGCTGATATTGCTGCTAATTTTCTTGCACTTTGGATGGGAATTCTTGAAGAAGCAACTGGAATTATTTTGGTGACAAAAGAAAAATATCCAAATTTTTATGCTTGGAGAGATGAATACATTAACGGGAACAAAGAATATTTACCTTCGAGAGATGAGTTGCTTGCTTTTTTCAAAGCTCGCTTTCAAGCTGCTGCAACACCTCCTTATTCGAATTGATTTCTTCGTATGATCAGTTAATTAATAGTTATTATCTAAGAAAGTTATTTTCTTAATTGAAAAAAATTGACTTTCCGAAATAATAACTAGTTAATTAAGTATTTTGAGAAATCAATCCTATTTATTCATCTTTGAAAATTCAAGATTTTGTGTGGCAATAAAAGTTGAGTGAATTTAGGGAGTGTTTTTTTTATTCGAATGGATAATAAGTATTAGTTCGAACTATGTATACGAAAAAAGAAATCGAACTACCTGTTTAGGCTTCACTATTTATTCTCTATTTATTTTCTATAACCAAAAATATTCACGGGGTATTACTACGAAATATTGAATTTTCTCTTTCTCTCTCTAGATCTCTCATCTCTTTCTCTTGAAAGTTCTTGTGTTCTTCATTCATCAAGTGTGTGTGCGTGAATTCGATCCTAACACTATTACATATCGATTTTATAATTTTAAACTCTATCAAAAAGGGCAGCTTATCTATTCACGTTGTACAAGGAATTAGGATGAATATGATATGATAGTTATTGGATAATATATTAATATTTGGAAAATTTTTATATCGCGACTTTGATATTATTGTATTTAGTAGACATTTTAAGAAATTGGTATTTGCTAGCTAACGATCCTCTTAGTCGTTTTATGAATCTTAACCATTTTTTTATATTAATTTTTTTTGTGGCTTCTATGAATAATTTATGGCCTATAAGAATAAGAGACATTATTTTCAGATTTATAAATGATTATTTTGTTGCTTTTAATAATGGAAGAACAAAAAAAAAGATTAATAAATAAACAAATCAATAAATAAAAGAAATAAGTACCAAAAACCCTAACTGAAAATTTGAGATAGTTGCTGATGAAAAAAAAAAGAAAAAGAGAACGAACGGAATAAGATGAAGAGAGCAGCCGCACTCCATCAGATTGCATTAATTTGAAAGTTTAACGAAAAGGAAAGGCTCAAATTCCGAAATAAATTGTTGATTAATTGAGGCAAGTGGATTTCTAAACCCTTGTTAAGTGTATGAAATTCGTGTATTTCCTTGTGGTATGTGTTTGGGAGTAATTGAACTTCGTGAAGGATTGACTTGTCCACCTTGATTAATTATAACGATGAAAAGGGTAATAAAAGATAATGTGATTAAATGTTGATGGGTTGAGAATGGTACGAGTACCGATGTTATAAATGCAAAATTTATTACTATGAAAATGTAGATCGTAATTCGAGAATGTCAAAGCATATGAGCATTAACTGATATATTTATGACTTGATTTATTATGTGTGATTTTGTTCTTTACTGAATCCATATAATTGTTATAATTGAGGCGATTCTATATCATAGCGACATTTGATTTATTGAGATGTTGCATCATCCCTTTTCTTTGATATCATATTGTGCACATGCATTGACATGAGATTGGGTATGTGTTGACACCCAATTTTGGCCTAACATTTTAAAAATTCGTGATTTCGAAGCTTTGTTTATTTAATAGCAAATTTTTGTCCGATGATTTTAAAATTCATACATTTTGAGTCAAATACAAAAAAAAATGCCTTTCCCACATTATCTCTGTAACGACCTGTTTAGTTGTTTTGAGTAGCAGACTTCAATTCTGAAAAAACTGGCAGAAGCGACAGACCCCACGACGGACCGTCATGGGCACGACGGACCGTCGCAGGGTCTCGTTTAAAAACACTTAGAAAATTTGAAATTGGATACTGAAAATCGA